ATAAAATAATTATATTATATTAGTTTCTAAAATATAGAAATTTGGAATATTATAAAAGTATTTAAATAATATAAAAAATCTAAAAAATCATATCGCATTAAAAAAATTTAATGATTTATATACGAAGTGAAAGAGAGGTAGTGGATGTATTTTATAAGTTATTATTCTAATGTTTTTTGTAAGAATATTAAATATTAGTTAAACAATATCATATATGTTATATTGTATTTAAATTAGTGCTTCAAAGCGTTCGAAGATTACTTCGAGTCTACTCGAATTCGATGGTATGTGCGTTAGATGTTCGAATATCTACATCGAATATTCGTACATTTTTAAATAAATACTAGAATGCCAAATACTAGAGAAAATGCTCAAAACTTCGAATAACTGAGATAATATTTAAAGCACTAATTAAAAATATGTATTTATAGAATTAAACGAAATGTTTTTTAAGAAAACCTTAGTAATTTAATTAGATATTGTTTTTTATTAACAATTATTTCATTTTTTTATATTATTCGCATAACCGTTAAAATTTAAATTTGTCGATGCAGTTTGTCCTAAAGGAAGCAAGGTTTATTTTGGCCTTATAAAGCAGAATTATTGTGATATATTAACTAAAAATTGTTTAAATTTTTCATGTAAGAGCTATAGGTTAATATTGATCGCCCTGATAGCACAATGCATTCATTAGTTCTGTTATGATACACGGGAATTAAATTCTACTAAGGTCTGATATAAAAATACACCTTAAAAAAGATTTGTTGGTGTTGTTTCGGCTATAGAGCTTCAAGCACTCATTAGATTAGTAAAAAAAAACGCCTTCTAAAAAATGTAGGTAAGCTTAGTTCTATCTGGTGTCGCTAGGGACCAATTGCAATTGGTCTACGCATGGCTTAAAGCCAGCCAGATCGATTGATTTATATTCTTTTTCAGTTTTTTGCTTGTTCAATTTTCTTAACCATTTTAAGGAAATTAATGTTAAGTATATGATACTATTAGAATAAAAATTGAAAATTTGTGGATCAGTGCTGAACAATGATGTATAAAAATAAATATTTTATTAAAGCAAGAATTTAGACTAATTGAAAAATAATTATATTTTGCTTCAGTAGAATCTATTTTGTTTTACAAACTTGTTACGTTGTTAAAATTATTAGAATTATATCTATTGATTGATTATAATTTAAAAAAAAACATAACATATATAAAAACAACTAAATTAAAGTAACCGTATAAGCTGGTCTTATAATTCTATTATATTAATTTTCAATTAATTTATACATATTTGTGTTTTTTAAAATAAATATATTGCTAATTAAAGGTTGCTATATAAGTTTATATTCAAATATAATATTAACAGAGTTCTCACTAAAAGAAGAGAAAAACTGTATCATCAAAATCAATTGAAGTTGCAATTAAAATCTTCATATCTTTTTTAAATTAATTTTTTTTTATTAATTTTTTATAGTAAATATATTTTTGTTTTGTTAAAAATAATATCCTTTTTTTAATATTTAATCGTAATAACAACAACACATATATTTATTTGTTTCATAAACAAATCTATGTATACTAATTTCTGTTACAAACCTTGCTGCGAATCTTTAATATTATTAATATACCTTTTAATAATTTATATATATATAAATATATATATTTAAAACATAATTGTAAGCAAAATTGTTTATGAGGTATAAATTTAGTACTAATTTAGTTTAAAATTAAAGTTATTTTTTTTTTATATAATATAATATAATTTCATTTCTATAAAAGTATATTTTTATAATAATATACGAATTACTTAGTTGTTGTTCATAATTTTATATTTTTATTTTATTTCGTTGTGTATAAAAAAGATAATGAAATTAGTTGATGAAAATCATATATTTAAATATAAAATTTGAAAAAAAAAATTTTTTATTGTTTGAAATGAAATATGAAGAATAAATGTATTATTTTTAATAAAAGAAAAGATAGAAAGATTTTTGATAGAAAAGTACTTCGTAAGCTCTTTGATCTTGTAAGAGTCAGCGTCGATTATCACATCCGAATGAACTACAAGCTATACGGCCTTTATCATGATATTGATATAATTCAGCAAATTAACCGGCTTCGCTAGCTTCAGGAAAGATGTCTTTGAAAAGTTAATCGAAGAAAGAAGGCGCAGAGGTACACTGTCACGAGACTGGAGAAGGTGAGCACGCAGCAGAGGTGTCTGGAGCGAAGTTCTGCATTTGACCGAAACCCGTTAGCTGATTGTTATGGTCAATGCAGTAAGATAGAGACTTTTTGCGAGAAATATTAGATAAATACTTTATTATTTATTAAATTGCAATGAAAACACAATCTTAGTAAAGACATTAATTACGTGTAAAATGTTGACTTATGTCCAATGTTATGCCACGAAAGAACAAAGAATATTGCAGAATTGTTACCTCCACAAGAGTTGGTACTATCATGTTATCACGTTATATCTCTCATGTTAACTATTAACTAACTATCTTGGTAAAGAGCTAAAGAAAATTTTTTGTATAACTCTCTGGCTCCCTACGGAAAAAGTATTAAATTTGGAGAAGGTTTATAATAAAAACTATTATAATAAATTTTTCAATTTTTTTATATATGCGTATAAATAATGTCTACAATATATGTAACATATATAGTCGTTGCGGATTTTTTATTCACATAAAATGATGAAATCGGTAAATGTAATACTGCTTTTTAATATAAATCTTATATTGTTATTAAAATAATTGTTATAAGTAACTCCAATTACTTTCAGTTTGTTTTTAAAACAAAAAAATTATCAATTATGTGGCAGCATTCTAATTTTTTTATACCGCTAACTGTACTAAATTCGAACAACGCAACTCAATAGAAAGAGACAAAACAATACTTAACATAATTATATTAATAGCAATATTTAAATAATTAATTAAGTAAATCACAATTTCACAATTGCTTTAGTTTTAGGGAATTGAAACAAAAGTTATAAATATTAAATAGCTGGTTTAATTGATTTTATAACTAAAATATTTCAAAATAAATTTTTTATTAAAGAAAGAGACAACAAGTTATGATGATGGCTGCTAAGCACATAATTCGAACATAAAACTGAAACACCGCAAAGGTGCATTTGCGCGTGTGTATAAGTTTTAAAAATAATTCATATATCAACAGAGACCAATATAATTGCTAATAAATAATGTTATCGTGTTAAGAATTGAGTTATATATCAAAAAAAATATTTCTAAATTATGTTTATAATTAATTTTATATTTTTCCTTTGTTATTTCTATATTTTTGAACAAATACAAGATTTTATTTTAATGTAAATTATATTATAATAATTATTAATGTTTTTTAATCTCTTAATAACAAGTCTAATGCCAATGTAATTTCTTTTGGTAGGGACCAGGGATTATGTGCCTACCAATTTGTTTTCCATTCAATAATATTGGGGATTCCAATATTCGAACAATATAATTCTAACCACTACAACTTATAGAATATTTGATGAATTCATTATTGCAATTGGATTCCTTTTTAATGTTAATAGATTTACGTTATTAATACAGCTTTATGGTGTCACATCATGAAACAAATATATCATCCATTTGGATTGTTAGCTTTCGTTGGTGGAAAAATATAACTAGCTTTGTTCAAAAGTAATAATATTAGCAACAAATTCGTGGCTGAATATTTTGTCCTCACTGCTGTAATCATATCCTTAAATTGTAATTTTTTACCTTTGAAGTCTTACAAAACCTAACCCTTGCCTTGGTGTCTCTACTCCAACCATGACACTGAATATTTTTTAAATGGCCGGTATAGGCAACATAAAGACAACTTTATAATGGAGAAGAGGTACTCAGACTTTCGTTTATTATTCGGACAAAAAGGATTGACTTTTGCAAATAGTTATGACTTAACTGAACTCGGATTAATATGATCTTTTTCATAGCTAAATGATATTATTCAATCTTTCTCTTTTGAATTAGTGCCCTATCCGAAATTTCGCAACACATTGGAACCAGTTGACCCCTAGTTACTTCTTATTCATACATAAACCTAGCATGCATTATTTATGAACGTGATCGCATCTACATTCTTCTACCCTATTAAGTGCCATTAAATGAGATGGAGAGTATTTAAAGAAGAAATTTGATTTTTAATTTTCTTCCAGCAGAAGAATATAATTAATCAAAATCTTTTTAAAAATTTTTTACAAATTTTTTGTTTACTTTAGCCATCTATATCTTTCAATAATCCCTGGTATTACTATACTATTAAAAGTTTTATATAATCTAATTATTTTTACAATTTTTAATATGTATACTAATATGTAAACTATATATACAATTTGTTTTTAATAATTATATATATATATAATAATTTATTATGCAAATGTAACATTAATAATTAATTATAAACATATCATGAATTATGTATTTAAATATTCAATAATAATATTTAATTTAAATGCATCATTTTCTAATTACAAAAAAGTAGTAAATGCTTATTCGAAATCGCGGCAAACCTCCATATAGTATATAACAGTGTAGTATTCGAAGTCGAAAGCCTAATTTTTTTGCCTGACAACAAATTGCTTGCTTATAACCTTCATTTCGACTACTGCCAAGTACGAAAGTGGTTGTGTTTTCTAAACGTGAAATAAATCTGTGGAATCATTTTATTTTTTAAACACTTTTTAATACTAACGTTGTAAATTTTCGTTTAAAACAAGTCATTTATTGAACAATTATCGAAGAATACTAATATATTGCATACAATATACTGTTAAAGAATATACTGTTAAATTAAAATGGCCGACAATAGCAATATTAGTAAATTTGATGTTA